GTTTTAACCGATATCTGACTCCTGGTTTTTACTGATAAGATTAATTAGGTTTATGTTTCAATGATTAAAATTAAAATATTTAAGTCAGGTGCAGCAGTAGATAGCTATCATCCCAGGAGGTAGGAAGTAGAGTCAGGAACATGAAGAGCTAATTTAAAGCCAGCCTTGGCTACATTAGCAAGTTAGGGACCAACCCAGGTTACAAGAGACCCATTCTCTAAAAACAAAAAACAGGAAAGAATAAATAAAATTAAAGTATATAAACTTACAATTAATAAGTTACATATAAATGTAACAAACACTGCAAAACCTTCACTTCATAATTATTTTACTACTCTGTGAGTTTAGCTTGAGTTCACTGTTGGCTGCTATATGGGGAAGCACTTTGAGGAGTGTGCTGGAGCAGAAAACAAAGCTTAAGACTCTCCAGTGAGGCAAGTGATCAGGAAATGCACAGTGAATTTAAAGGTTTCCGTGACGAATGTTTACATCATGAATATCACCATGCTGCAGCTCAGCGAAGATATGGCTCCCACTACTGACAAGATAAAGCCCTGGCAGCTCACCTGCTAATGGAGCAGACAATATTCATCTTTGTCAAATACTTTCTGTCACGTTTAGCTACATATTAAGAATACAGAAGTTCAGCAAATGTCAGCAAAAGTATTAGAAATCACGAAACAATGCACACGGTATTATTTTGTGTGCCATTTGTTGTATCAATAAAACACATTTTAAGTTTATATGCACATGTGTATATCACATACATTGTATGAATATTCCCTAAGTACCCTGGGAAGCCAGGTGATCTGCATAGTGTTGATAGTTGACCCTTTCACACCGCCTCAGTTTATCCAGTGGTTGACAACATTTCCCCTCCTCCGTTGTCTCATTTGAGTAGTTCTCTTCAAGATGAGGAAGACAGTCCCTTGCCAATTACCTCAGCTGTCTTAGAGCCCTGATTCAGGAGCCCTGAGATGTTGGCTACAGAATTTCAAGAGTTCCATTTTCCTTCCTACCCTTCCTGCCACAGTGGTCTTCAAATTGATTGGATTGGTGCAGGAGGTGTAACTGGAGGATAGCGGGCCTCTGTGGAGATGGACTCCTTCTCTGGGTTTGATGCATAGATGTTTCTTCTGGGCTCACAAAGCTGGATCTGTTAGCACGTGTGTTTTCTATCAGATGAAAATATGTCTCCTCAGGAGAAAAACGAGATCACCCAGCGAAGAGAAGCGAGCAGACATGAGGAGCAGGTAGTCTCCCGCCAGTGCGGTTCCTCCTGCAGGCTCTGCGGCCCGCTGTCGTTACTCTCTCTTCCCAGCCTGAAGAGCCACCAAACTCCAGTACTCAAGGATGGCTCTTTGCCTTGTAATAACGTGAACCAACTCTCTCCTGAACTAGTACAAAGCGCTGCCTCAGCATGCCTGCCAACTTCCTGAAACCGCACAATACTGTGCGTAATTGTGTTGAGAGCACCTTTGCCCCGGAACAGGGTTAATGGCTATATCATCAGATTCATGAAGGAACGATATATCCATGAAATCTCACCAAAGTTCATGTAAATCAAAACAGCAACAACAAAGCTGTGTGCTGCCATTTGCTTAGCGTCTTTTGCTCTAGTCTGGAGTAACTACCCACCCGAGGATACATGTGAGTCTGTCTTTACCTGATTTTTAACCTAGATTTGAGGCCTTCCTCTAAGTCTTAAATCCTAAAGGACCTTTGGGTTTTCATTTGATTCCTTCTTTGCTAATTTCTTCACATACCCGCCTATTTGTGTATGTGTGATATTGTTAGCACATTTCTCAAGACAGCCTAAATTAGGAGGCATTTTTTATTCTCTTGATTTATGAAATTTTAAGGAAGATGGGCATCTAAGAAATCAGTGTCTTTATTCTACAAAAACTTTTTAAAAAATGGCTTCTGTGTATCAGTAGAAATAACTTGAAAGAAATAATATTAGGTGTTAAGATCCAATTTGAATCGAGACCCAGTGACACACATCTGTTGTCCTAGCATACTGACAATGGAGACAGGAGGATGGTGGATTGAGGGTGGCCTGTGTGTACTATCCAGTGAGACAAGTCTCCACAATTTTTTCCCTGTTTCTCAGATGTTTTAAAATTACTTACAAACAGGCTTCCATGCTGAGGACAAGTTATGAAATAGGAAGATTCATTATTGAGGTCAAATTAAAGCTGGACTCAGTGTGAGTGAGGAAAGAGTAAAACATATGAAACCTATCTTGTTCTCTTGTGATGTTAGCTATCAAGCAGAAAAGTAATTGAACTTGATGAAAAGCAAAATAAAGTGTTCCCAATACTACGCATCCAATATCTTTACTTCAGGAAAAGCTAAAGCAATTTCAGGCAGTTATTTTTGTCTAAAAAGTAATTTATTGCTTGGGTAAGCATGACACATGGGGTTTTGTGAGCCCTGCTCACCTGGCTGGAGCAATATTATATCAGCCTTTGTAGTTTTGGTTCATTGTACCTACAGCACAAAAAAGAATTCTTTGAATCTCCCCTGGAATATAATGTGTACAGTAGTATAATAAAGTGCTTTCATTGAAAGTAAATTTGGTTTGAAATTTAAGTTTTTTAGAACTAAAACACTGCCTCCTCAGACCCAAGAGACAACATTATAAATACCCTAAAGTGAATCAGCTCTGCTTAAGGCTTATACATGAATACAACTAAACTAATGAACAAGGCTTCTGATAAGCACATGGAAGCTAAAACTAGGGAATGAACTGGACCATTTTATGAAGAAATTTACTACTTTCATTGTGTATGATTACTTGAAATTTAATGTTGCCTCTCAAAACCCACATAAGTCATTAAGTTGCCATCTGACAACCATTAATTGCCACAAAGAAAGAAATTCTACCCCCAGCTTCAAGACTGCAGCTTGTACATATGGGTAGTTGGGTAGTCTGACTTTTAAGGTTAGCTCCACTTCTTGGAGTATACTTACCTTCATCAGTCTCTCTTATTCTATTAGCTACATTAATTTAAGTGTATACTGGGCTAGGTTGATAGATAAGCGTAATACTGAAACCATATGGAGACATAGATGAGAAACAGAGAGAGAGAGAGAGAGAGAAGAAGAAGATTGGTAGGGTGTGGGCACAACAAGATGAAGGAATTGCCCCCTTAGCGTTCCTTACAATACTCAAATCTTCATTGTAGTTTCTCATGATGCATCTGATAACCAGGGAAACTTAAACCTCAAGAAACAGAGATTTGGAATAGCACTACCGAAGTTACTATTTTTGTTACCTACACACTGAATTGTTAATTGTCATAAACCAAACAATGAAATGTAAAACTGAGCTTAAGACGGTAGGAGTCAGAGGGGATGAAGGTCACCAGGAGAACATAGTCCATTGAATCAACTAAGCAGGGCTCATGTGTTCACAGAGACTGAAGTGATAAGCACTGGGCCTGCATGAGTCTGCACCAGGTCCTCTTATGTTATGACTATTATCTTGCTGTTTTGACGGACTCCTAACAGAGCGAGAGGGTGTGTCTCTGACTCTTTTCCCTGCTATCAAGACTCTTTTCCTCCTATTGGGTTGCCTTGTTCAGCCTCAATATGAGGGCTTTCACCTTGTCAATAAGTATTTTGTTTCATCTGACTGTTGGAGACCTGATCCTTTCTGAAGAGGAAATGGAGTGGGAGTAAATCTGGGAGCGGGAGGAGGCTAAGAGGAGTGGAGGAAGAGGAAACTGTGGTTGGAACGTAAAAACAAAAACCAAACAAAATGAGCTTGGCACCAATTAAATAATTCTTGTATGTGACGACTCCTTACCAAAGGCTTTATGGATAATCAGTAAAGAGTTAGAATGTTGTCACCTTTGTACTGCTGGAGGGAACATTATGAGTAAATGACACACACACAGTTTGTCAGGCTTAGTACAGTTACCCATGAAGTGTAGCGAAATATCAATAAAAAGGAAGTATGGCCAGGCATAGTGGACACGCCTTTAATCCCTGCATGGGTGAGAAGAGTTGAGAGGGTCTCTGTGAGTTCAGGGCCAGCTTGGTCTACACAGCCTGTTCTAGGCCAGTTAGGAATACAAAGACCCTGCCTCAAGCAAAACAAAATGAAACAAAAGCTAGTAACAAACAAAAAAGGAATCACAAACAATAGCATTCCAACTGTTAGGAAGTCAATCTTCCTGATAGAGGAGGACGGCGAGATCTTCCATTGCTGGCAGGATTTCTACTAGAAGCCTGCTGAATTGTCCTCTGTTGGGTAACTCCTCATTTTCATTTGCAAGCTTGTGCTTCTGTGAAACATCAGCTCAGCCAGCTTAATAGCCCTGGTTACCTTCTCTTTTTGTTTATAAATAAATGTCTCACTAAGCTAGAAAAACTATCTTGAAATCTTTCTTACAGTGTTTCCCAGGGTGTAGCATCCACCTGGGGTGCAGCATCCATAGTTAGTCCTAAGCATCCACCTGGGGTGCAGCATCCATAGTTAGTCCTAGGAATCCACCCAGGGTGTAGCAACTATAGTCCTAAGCATCCACCTTCATGCTTTCTCTTTCTATTCCTTGATTTGAGCCTTCTACCTTTCTTGTTCTTAGATGAACCTAGATGAACACTGAAGATACCTCAGGCCCAAGTAACAGGAGCTCATAAGGCTGTACCAATTCAAGCTGAAGTGCAAAGGAGACCAAACATTGATCTTGAAGTGTCTGTCTGGTGAAAAACGCTCTACTACACCCTAGGTTGAAAACCCTCCTCTTTTCAAACCCCAACTATATCTTTTCCACTAGCCTTCAAATTTGAGTTTCTTTCAGTCACCTTCAAAAATGAATGAAAATGAGAAATGCGAAATAGTGAAAAGCAATAAGAAGAAAAGTATGCACATCAAGGTCTGATTGGGGTAGGTCTAAAACATTTAAAATGAAAATTATTTAATTAAAAATATCAAATCATAACTTTCAGAATTTGGGGGGGATTAGTTTTGTAGATAGCTGATTGTCCTTTGGTTATAAAATCATTATGAAAATACCAAATGAGTCATATTGCTTGCCTTAATCCATACAGCTATAAACATAGATACAAGGTGAGGGACAGGGCAGGGAGCTTAGATTTATTTTTTTAGTATGTATATGAGTGTATGTTTTCATATACACATGGGTGTATGTTTTGTGGGGTGTGTATTTGCATATGTGCATGTGGGTGAGAGGCTGGTGGTCAACCTCAGTGTCATTCCACAAAAGCTACCCACCTTGCTCTTTGAGACAAGGGCTCTCATGCGGATGTGGGGTTCAACTCCCTAATGTGGGGATTACAAATGCATAAGACCATGCCTGGTTTTTATTTATGTGGGTGCTAAGAAATAAACTCAGGTTCTCCCACTTGAGTGTTGTCTTAGTTATGGTTTCTATTACTGTGAAGAGACACTATGAACATGGCAACTCTTATAAAGTATTCAATTGAGGCTGGCTTACAGCTCAGAAGTTTAGTCTATTGTCATCATGGCAGGAAGCATGGCGGCACATAGGTAGACATGGTGGCTGGAGAGCTAGCTGAGAGGTCTACATCTGGATGGGCAGACATAAGGAAGACAGTGAGACACTGGGCCTGGCGTGAACATCTGAAACCTCAAAGTTCACCCCCAGTGACACACTTCCTCCAACAAGGACACGTCCCCTGAAAGTGCCACTCCCTATGGGCCTATGGGGCCATTTTCATTCAGGCCACCACAAGTGGTAAGTACTTTTCCAAGGAAGCTACTTCCCTAACCCAACAAATTAAAAATTTCACTCAGATATCATAATTTCAACTGGACAGTGACAGTTAACGAAAGTCAATTTTGAATTATTTAAAAAGCAGAGGATAATAGACTTGCTGGATGTAATTTTATAGAATAAGAAAATTGTGAATGAACTGTAGAGACAGTTCAGAGAAATTCAAGCAGAAACGCTACTGATCACATACCAGCCACACCGTAGCTAGTTGAGCACCATTGCTTTGAAGGGTTGAAGGGATTTGCCCTCTGTTAAAATAAGCTTCTTGAGTTGAGAGGCCTATCTTTATATGCAGAGGTCCTACAAAAAAATGTAACTCAACAAGTATTGGTGCAGTTGCTTAACTTACTGTTGAATGTTAAGGAACTGTTCTCAGGTGAAATTTTACCTTCAAATGACTTCTGAAGGTGTTTATAAAACACATACCCAGTCCCGCCCCCAATAGTCTGCACACAAGACTAGACTTTACAAGTTCTACAAATTGATAAAAATTTCCATAGCGATTGATATATATGTAAATATAAAGACTCCCTAGAAGCAATCTTGTCAATGTCAAGAACAAGGCAAGGATAGCTACTCAACCAGGATTAGAGATTTTAGCTAATCCTATCAAAAAAAAGAAAATAAGAAGTATAAAAATTGGATAAGAATGAAATTATTCAATTACAAACACTATGTTGGTAATCTAAAACCCAAGATAATGCTAAGGCTAGTACAAAATCTAAAAATAAGGAAGTAGACATTTGATTAACCTAAAAATCAATATTTTGCACAGATAGAAACAACAACCACTTAAGTTATATAATTTAAGAAATGAAATATTTGGAAATCTTAAGGGAAAAGTGTGCTAAATTTACTTAAGGAAAAGGGTTTAAAATGTTATATGTTCTTTGTGTCTTATATCCAGAAAGTAGACCTGAAATAGTTGAAAGACATTCCTTGTTTTTGGAAAGAAAAACTTAAAACAAAAAACCCACAAATTTCTTTAAAACTACTATTTAATTTAATATGATTTCAATAAATATAATCTGAAATTGTTTGACGAAGACAGATTAATCATAAAGTTCATATGGAAGAATGTTAAGTATTTTAAATAAAGAAAATCTAATGAGTTGAGGCTAGCTTTACATGATATAATTATACCATAAAACTTCCATAATTAAAAAATGCAGTGTAGATGCATGAATAGCGAGACCACTGGAACTGAATGTCAGATCCAGAAATAGATCCAAGTACATATAGAACATAGGAAATGAGAACCATACCAACTTAAATAAGTTGAACAAATGATGGATTTTTAAGAAAATATATTCAAATTTTAGACTTTGAGAAGAAAGACAAGATTAGACTCATACTTCATCCATACAAAAGAGATCCTTAAATACATCTGGTATCTAAATGTGAAACATTAAATTGCACAATAACTCAAGGAAAAGTTGAATAAAATTTATTTAAAACGTGAGTGTAAATTAAACTAATCAGCTTTCTTTTTTTTTTTTTTTTTTTTTTTGGTTTTTCGAGACAGGGTCTCTCTGTGTAGCTTTGTGCCTCTCCTGGAACTCACTTGGTAGCCCAGGCTGGCCTCGAACTCACAGAGATCCGCCTGGCTCTGCCTCCCGAGTGCTGGGATTAAAGGCGTGCGCCACCACCGCCCGGCGGCTTTAAGATTTCTAATCATTAATAGATAATATTTTTCTTTGTGGTCCTTATTGCTGAAACCTTGGCCTATTCTCATAAGAACAGGAAAATCCAGCAAAAGGCATCTGGGGGTTGAACCCTGAAGTCAACTACAGGACTAGCTAGAGTGTCCACTAGGACTGGGAAAGCTGTTTGTGTAAGTGCAGCCTGTTTCTACCCTCACAGCATTACTCATCTCACTCCATTGGGGTTCTGCCCTTCCTTTCATATCTGATAGCCCTTCAAAACTAGAGCCTCTAGCACGTCTGTCTAGTACTAAGAGATGCTGTGTAGCATTTCCTATACTCTCTTTGCTATAACATTGTACACTGCCCCTTAATTCCCCTTACCATTAATTACTGACTGAAGACCTGTTGTGCAATAACCCAGAATCTGATGATCATCAAATCAGCTTGTCCAGGTGTTTGTACTTCTTTGTATGTACTATGTGTATCCTGATGTGATAGGAGCCCTTGTTTTGCTTGCTGTCTCTATTACTGTGAAACTTTGTCAGCCCACACCACGAGTCCCTCCTTTCTGACCTGTGTGGGCGTGTACAGTAAGTGCACACTTTGGCCCCTTTTCCCACCACTGTGACAGAATTCCTGACTAAGGCAGGTTAAGGAAGATCAGTCTTGGCTCGTGGTCTGAGGGGGTACAGTCCATCACGGCAGGGAAGGCGTGGCATGGAGCGTGAGACGGCTGGTCATACGGCTTTTACAGCCAGGAAGCAAAGCGAGGTGAGCCACGGCACTCAGCTTGCTCGCTGTTTTGGTCTAGGACATCAGTCCTCCGAGTGGGTTTTCTTCTCTCTTCACAGCTTCTTCGGGAAAGCCCTCACGGGCACTCCTAGAGGTGTCTCCTACTGACAACGAAGACACCATTGCATTGAGAAATAAGTTTAGGCTGTATAATATTATAGTATATTCTCTCCTGACTGATGTATATATCATTTTTACATTCTTAGTTGAAAAATATTTGTGGAGTCAATATCATGTGCTAGGCATTGTGCTGGGGAATACAGAGAGAGAGCAATCCTGGTTTCCCCAATATTACGATAGAGCCCATTTAGTGCCACAATATGCTGTGAGATCCAGGAGGCAATGTGAACAATAAATGGGAGAGCCCAAATGAGACAGCAACTTGAGGCGAGCCTTCTCAGAGGCAGCTGTTTATGAGTCCAATTATATTGTAGGAGTAAAAGTTAGCTAGAAAAATAAGGGGCTGGGAAGGAAAGTCACTTAGGCAGTCAGAACATGAAATGAGAAGTTCAGATGTATGAGGCACAGGATGCCCCGATGACTCACCAATATATAACAATATACAGATTAGTATTTTGATATTTTGTTTGTTGTAGCTGGGGCTATCAGGCAGGAAGTCAGTTCAAATAGGAGCTAGCACATGACGTAAGGCATATTATCATTTTATTCCTCTGTGTCCTGTTTACCCACTCTTAAAGATGAAAGTACTGACCTGCTTCACAGAGATGTCATCTAATTGATACTTAGAGTTGCTCTGAAAACATCAAGCCCCTTTCAAGTATGAAGTAGCAGCACAACTTTCTTGTGAACCATGCTTGAGCGTGAAAGGAATTTTTACTGATGTCTCTTTAATGATCTCAGCCTGAAGTGGATGGAAAAGGTATGATGGCCCCGTGAGAAGAACTTCACAGAAGACAGGAAACTTTCAAAGTTCACAACACTGGGAAGAAGAAGCATAAAGGTACCGTATTGTCCTCTTTCAAACTCAGATGCCAATGGTAACAGTGGTGGTATCTGGAAAGATCAATAGGAAAGCAGAGAGTTGGTGGGCATGGCCTGTTTTGTGTTATTATTATGTACAAGACAGTCACATTTAAAAATATTTTAACTTTATTTTTAATCATTTATAAACACGCGCGCGCGCATGTGTGTGTGTGTGTGTGTGTGTGTGTGTGTGTGTGTGTGTGTGTGTGTGTGTGTGTATGAGTGCAGGTGCCTGTGAGTCCAGAAGAAGGCATCAGAGGCCACAGAGCTGGAGTTACACAGGCTGTTGTGAGCCTCCTGAGAGAAGCTCTGGAAACCAAACTCAGGCTGTCTATCAGAGCAGTACACACTCTTGACTGCCGGCCCAACTCTCCAGCCCTCTGAGTCACATTTTTAATAGTCGAGTCATAGGCACACCTATAGTGTAGGAACGAGAATGGTAGATGATTTATAGAGCATTAACCACGTGCCAGCACTAGGCTAAGCTTTTGATTTTTTTATTCCATCAAATCTTTAAATTCATGACTGATAATAGATATATCCATGAACATACTTATATGCTAATTTATAAATCCTTAATTGAAATGTGGTAGAATGTAAGTGTGTATTTTCCTTACTTTCCCTTATGTATAGACTGCACAATTGTCTTATTGGTATGATTTTATGAAGACTGAAGATTTCATTTAATCATGCTGTATTGACATGTAATTTATTTATTTATCACCTACTTCCTATAGAAAATAGCTTTTGATCTCTACATATTTGCTTACTTCTTATAAGTTCTAACAAAAAATTAGTCTAATGATTAGTAGATGTTATCAAGGGTCAGGAATTACCAGAATGAGAAGCTGGGAGAAATTAAACAGGGAAAAGGTAAGGCCCAGAGTTTAGCATCTTTATTGGTTCAAAGGGCAGTCAACCAAAAGGCAGAATGGGGTTAAAAAAGGCATAGTAATTGGGAATAGAAAGAAAAATAAATCTTAAAAAAGGAAAAGATTCAACCTTGAATTTGAATCACGACACTGGTTAGAGGAAGAAAAGCAAACTCAGGAGGCCAGTAACCACACACCACAGCCCAAGTGCTAGAATCTGGGGTTTCACTTAAATCCCAGATTCACTTACTCTCTGTCTGTCTCTCTCTGTTTCTCTGTCTCTCTGTCTCTCTCTCTCTGTCTCGCTGTCTCTGTCTCTCTCTCTCTCTCTCTGTCTCTCTCTCTCTCTCTCTCTCTGCTTTGGTTTGTAAATTCACATACATATGTGTGGAGGACAGAAAATCAACCTTAGGTGATATTCGTCAAGAACCATCCACCTTGTATTTTGAGACAGGGTCTCTCATTGCTTGGGAGCCCATCGGTTAGGCTAGGCTGGCTGATTTTCTTTGCTGATTGCATCTCCCCAGCCCTGAAATCCCAGATTGTCTAGTCCACAGCCTTCCTGGATCTTTCAGCTTTATGATGATGCTGTCTGTGGGCTCCATGCTTTGTTACTGTGGCAGCCTTGGCAGGGATGACTTTCTAGAATCCTTACAGAGCATCCTAGATGTAGGTTTGCTTGCTTTGTTTGGTTTTGTTTCTGGTTTCATTTTGTTTTGAGATTTATGGCTGGAAAGAATTGTTAGGTTGGCTGTGGAGGATGTGTGAGTTCAAATTCCAACCTCATTGCTCACTGACTGTGCTCCTTTGGGAAATCACTCAAACTCGGTGCACAGGTTTCCTTATCTGTAAGACAGAAACAAGAATAATGTCTTGCTCAGGGAATTAAAACAAAAAGATGAAGTGACACAGAACTGTAAGTGTGTGGAATACTGCCTCGCACACAGGAAGTATCCATGCCAGCTTGTAATAGTCCATCTTAAATGGCAGGAAGCTATTCGGATTAGCTATGGTGCCTAAAAGACAATGGGGTAAGAAGGGGTGGGGGGTAGGAGGTGGGGTAAGGGGGGTTGCGGGGGGAATGAGATCCTGTAAGACAGACAAAACCAGCTCAGTGAAGAGGGAATGAAGAGGCACTTTTAGGCAAGCCGATTTAATGAATGAGGCACACTATCAAAGTATAAGGAGTGAATGAATGCAGCCTAGCCATGCAGAAACGTCTAGGGGTAAGGAGGAAGTCTGCTTTGCTTCTCTGTTCTGCTGAGTTTGGAGGCAGTCGGGATACAGGAGTATCACAGAAGATGAGCACAGTGGAAGTGGGCGTGGGGAAAGTTAAGAGAAATGGAGGCAGGCTGTAAAAGAAAGACTTACTGTGTGTCTTCTCAGGTGGAGAATGTAGATTTAAACAGATGACATGAGGGGGGGAGGGGCTATCTGAGGTGAGGAGGGGAGCACCAGAGCCGGAGTGGAGACAAGACAGGGTAAGGAGGATGAGTAAGTACAGACTACAGCGATTTACAAGTGTGACATTCCCATAATTAAGTCCATTATTTTGTACCCTAACTAAAACAGAGGAGAGAAAAACCCAGGTTAAGCCTAATTCGTCCTCGGGCAACTGGCCACTGGTCTGTGAAGATAATAATGGAGATGAGGGGAAAATGTGAGAGAGTTTTACAGGAGAGGATGGGCCTAATGAGCGGTGGGCGGAGAGCATGAGAATGAGGAAGTCGTGGAGGAAGGTGAGGTCATCCTAGGAGGCAGACGAGTCAACAGTGGTTTTCCTCTCACTGACTGCTTTGCAGATCAGCCAGGTGCAGGGCCGGAGCAGAAGGTTGTTCAGGCAGCACACATGCACACCTCAGCATTCTGTAATCAAAGCGGCAGGAAGTAGCTAACTTCTAAATCCTCAGCTCACATACTCTTGATCTTGAAACCAAATCACCATATGTCCAGAAAAAGGTGAGGAGGGACCCATGAGACTTGTGGGAGGTAAGAGGCAGGAAGATTTCCACACTGTGATGTGGTTAAAAAAAAATGGGTAGAAATGAGGCTGTTCACTGTCTGTTAAGCCGTGTGGGTTTTGTTCTGGCCACTCTGTTAATTTCAGGGGTTTCGCTAAAGGTATGATTTTAGAGAAACCTAGGTATCAACTGCCCAGACCTTACCACTTAGTTCGTTCAGGTTTAGGCAGTGGTCCTATCATGGCGGAGAAGCCTCCGGCCCTGGTGTGTGAGTGTAAGAAACAGCAAAACCAACAGGCTATGGCTGGAGGAGTGGGGCATTCATAACATGGTTTATAACATGAAACATTCTAAATAACTTGACCCTTGGTGTAGTGTCTTTGTTTGCTAAAATGTTTAAAGACTTCCCCAGAGATTATTTTGATTCTTATAGTCCAATATGCCTCCTACTTTTTGGTAGAACTTCAAACCTGTAGAGACATAGCTTCTCTGGATAAAGGACAAATGGACTCCACAGTGAAGGGCTTGTGTGTACACGTTAAATATGAGACGTGTAGACTGACAGGCTAACGGCTGGCCTTGATGCTTTGTTTTGAGCCCAATTCCAGTCTCGACTCTAGGTGGCAGTTTACTCCACCACTTAGGCTCTTTAAACAGGCAACAGATTCATTCACAGTTTTTTCATGAATGCATAATTTTGTGTAAAAATTAGTTCCTGGCTCTCAGGATCTGTTAAAAATAGGTTTGGTTTTCAGAATAAAATCATGGCTCGAGGTACAGGTTTTCCATGTATCTTATCATTCTTGGTTTCATCAACTTGATAGGATAAAGCAGAAGAGAACAGATAAAGATGAATGTTTTAGCCATAATTTTTTTGAAGAATGTAATCCGCTTAAGCATGGCAATAGTTCTCTGTCAAAGCTGGCTTCCATCATGCAGAGGAGAATTCAGTCTGAATGATTCCTCCTTGAATGTGTAATGTTCACAAATATTGAGCCTGTTTGGAACTCTTCATTTTTTTTGAGATTGTTTAGGATATAGATTTGATTGAAGGAAAACAGTTCTACAAACAAACAAACCAAAGCGAGAATGACCTGTTTCTTTGTATCTTTTTATATAGATAGCCAAAGTTAGAGTTTAGATGGCAGAGACACAGTTGCGCTGCACCATTCCAAACAATGCTTCCTCACACACTCACATCCAAATACATTTGTATGCTGTGTACTGGTTTATTTTTATAAGGGATTTAAAAATAGAATATGCGAGAAGGTAACTCTTTAGCCTATAAAGAAGAAAACACAGGTACAATCTGTCGGCCAGCCTACTCGACATACTGTGCTTTTAAGATTTTTGTTGTTGTTGTTTGTTTTTTCATTTCAGTTTTTCGAGACAGGGTTTCTCTCTGTAGCCCTGGCTGTCCTAGAGCTAGCTCTGTAGATCAGGCTGGCCTCAAACTCACCTGCCTCAAGGTGTGCACCACCACATTGCACTTCTAAATAAGAAGCATGACATGCCATGCTCCTGAGTATTCCCAGAAGTCACAACATTGGATTCTAAAGTAGTCTGAGTAGATGGTAGCTGGCCTGCTGGAGAGTCTGGCCGCCTGACGAATCTCCTTTTATATGCTTGTTCTGTACATAGACCCTGGTGATATGAGCACTCACTGTCCAATAGGAAGTAACGTGCTAACCTATCCCAGCCAATAGACTCCCACTGTATAAGTGGTTGGTCACCTGCAACAAAGAAGATGCTGTTCCCTGAGTGTTTTTTCTCTGTACCTTTTACTGACCCATGGTCATTGTGGTCTTGTGTGTGTGTGTGTGTGTGTGTGTGTGTGTGTGTGTTGGTATGTGGGGGGGGGTGCCCCAGTAGTGACAACAAACATCTATCACGAAAACTTTTCATTTTAGAATTTTTTCAGTTTTAGTATCAGCAGGAGAAACAAATGCATAAAGGATTTAAACTTCACCTTAAAAATAGGATTTCTTTAAATGAAGGATAAGAATAGAGTATCTTTGAATGAGAAATAAGATTATGTTGTGCACAGTGCCTGGCACACAGCGTCCTGCACACTAGTTTTTCTTATTCATATTGTTCTGTATTTCATAAATATATGGTTCAATTAGAATCTCAAAGAGCCTGGCTAATGTGTCAAACTCCTAGGAAGCTTTTATTTGTAAGTTGCATGATTGGACTTGTCCTGTTCCTACACCCTCCTCCATGTAAAAGGAACACTAAGAAGCTCCGTACAACAAAGGACACCATCATTTGAATGAAGAGGCGTCCTACAGAATGAGAAAAAAATATTTACCAGCAATACATCCCTCAGAGGATTAGTACCTAGAATACACACACACACACACACACACACACACACACACACACACACACACACAAAAAAAAAAAAAAAAACCCTAAGAAAACCCTACCCATCAGAAAGACAAACAACCCAACTTGAAAATGGGGTAGGAACTAAACTGAAAGTACTCAACAGGAAACAGAAGTGGCAGAGAAACACTTTCAAAAATGTTCAGCATTCTTAGACATGAAAATGCAGCTTAAAACCACTTTGAGATTTCATCTTACCCAGATGTTGTCAAGGATGCAGGAAAGGGGACCATGTGTCCACTGCTGCTGGGATGTTGTAGTCATTATGGAAATCAATGAGAAGATTTCTCAAAAAGTTGAAAACAGGTCTATCATAAGATCGAGCCATACCACTCTTAGGTATACATCCAAAGAGCCATATCCATGTCCATTGCTGCTCTGTTCATAATATACAGAAATAGTCTAGATGCCCATCAACTGATGAATAGATAGAGAATATTCCATCTGAATATTTATAAAGGTCAAGAAGTTAGGAAGGGTCTGTGAAGTGGGACTTCTGTGAAGGGAGACAGAACACACTACTATAAAAGGTTAAAGGGGAATGATAGAATGAGAGGGATAAATGAGGTAGGACCTGGAAGGACAGGGTAAAGCAGGAATTACAAGTAGGGATAACTAACACTGAAGACATTTCTAAAAAGGCATATGGAAATGTATTGCTGTAGAAGTGTCTTAAAAGATATACATACATAAAGAGCATAAATGGAGTTACCCTATAATGAGACAACAATGCCCCTACTAGATACAACAGGCTAACACATAACTAAACCAATGTCAGGAATTGGTTACCTCTTTTGGAGTTGTTGGCTATTGAGGGTCTCTAGATTCCTCCAAAAACTATAGGCTATTGTCAGTGTCCTTTGTTACCCTCCAGACTTGATGATAAGACGCTGTTGCTGAAGATATCACATACTTGTATCCTAGAACACAGAGAAATCAAGCTTGATACTCACCTAGAAGCTTCAACTGACTGGCTAGCTTTCGTAGTATTGGAAGGTGGTATGCATGCTACCAGAGGAGAGAAGTAATGGCTAAGCTTGCCTCGCTGTGGACTTTGCAAGCTACAACAGTGACCTGCTTGGGCAGACATGCCTTCTAGTGCAATAGCGGCATGGACATTGCAGGAATAACTAACCACTTATTGATTAGACTTAAAGAGCGCTCTACAAGCTGAACACCGTATCTGGTACCAGTTTTGGGGCCAAGAATTTGTTAATAGGCAGGTCATAGGCCCTAGGGAAGAACCTCCTCTTATTACTCTGCTAAACGGGCACAGTATTAAGCCAACTCCTAATGATGTATTATACTCACAGATCAGTGCATCTATACAACTGCATCAGAGGAGCTTATTTTTGCAGTAAATGGCAATTAACACAGAAACTCAAAACTGACAAAGGGACAGAGAACAAGAGTGTATAAAATGCTCATTCTCAAGTGGGCCATCTATATCACATGCTTTCTTTCAAAGGCTCAGGCATCATTTTAGAAGAGGGTGCAGAAAGATTGTAAGAGCTGGAGGCAGAGGATGATCACAGGACACAGTGTTTTCTGGGCACGGCAGGTCAGTTGAACATGTAACTTCACAGCACTCAGACAGCAGGCAGAAGCACTGCAAAAGTGAGCTCAAGCTAGACAAATGCCAACATGGAGAGCAGAGGTGGGCATCAAGTTCCCACCTACAGCTATCGCTGCTGGGAGAGGAAGACTAGTTTTCCATAGGGGTGAGACCCTGGTGGGTTGGAGCACTCTAGGGGGAAGGACATATTCCCAAGAGTATATGGGCAGCACACCTGTACATGATGGGTTTAAAAAGAAAAGAGAGAGGATGCAGAGTTGGGTGTGTGGGGAAGTAGGGGTGGATCTGGGAGGAGTTGGAGGAAGAGGGCGAATATGATGAAAAATCATTGTACAAAAATTTCTAAGAACTAGTATAAAGAGTTAGACCAGCACCTCAAGGCAGGGTAATGGCTAGACAAGGATTCTAGAGTAGGACACTTGCAATAGGGTATAAAGCTTGAACAACTGGAAAAGGCTGAAATTCAGTGTTGAATGGCCAAGGAGAAAACCCAGAAACCATCTGAGGAAGTCTGCAAAACAGTGGGCAGGCAGGGCACCAGAGGAGGTCTACAAAGGAGAATTAGGCCTAGTAGGTAGGTTTTGTTGACATTTGGAGTTTTCAGCCTTTCTTGGCTGTTACCTGAGCACACTGCCTCTGGATGGACAGCCCTCCTGGGATTCTTAAGAGGATTTGCTACACACTATCTTAAACCACCCCTGCTCTCCAATTCTTAGGGGGCTCCTAGCTCCCTTTCTGCTTCCCGTCCTCTTAGGGATGTTAGCTGTATCTTAATACTGCCACTGTCATCCAACTGTCCACTACCCTTATTCTCTATGAAATCTCACGGTGAATAACAACTCTCTCAGCAGCACCTCTAAAGGGTCTTTGATCATTCGTGACTGAAGACTCCCAGCTCTGTACCAATTTCACAATTTGTCTATTGCTACTCTTCTAGTTAAAACCACAGCTGCAAACTATTTCCTGCCTGTACAGCATGAGCCCATTCCAACTGTCTCATTTGGTAAGTCAGTACTGTTTTGTGTTTAAAAATATTTAAATTTGCTTTTTATTTTATGTGTGTGTGTGTGTGTGTGTGTGTGTGTGTGTGTGTGTGTGTGTGTGTAGCTATATGTGCTTGTGCATGTGTATGTTCCTCCAGGGGCTGGAGGTGGATGTTGGGTGTCTATTTTCTATCACTCTCCACTTTGTTTTTTGAAGCAGAGTCTCTCACTGTAGTTGGAGCTCATCTATTGACTATATTGTCTTGGAGCAAGCCTCCAGGATCCTTCTGTCTCTACCTCTCCAACATTGGGATTATAGATGTGTGTTTCTACACCCAGCTTCTTAAAAGCTGTTGATGGTCTGAGAGCAGATGCTTATGCTCACACAAGCATGTTACTGAACCATTACTTCCACCATAAAAATGTCTGGTATTTATATACATTATGCCCAAAGCTTTGTAACCTGCCAGTCTTTTTATGTAAGTCATTATAAATAATAATCTTTATAAAAGAATCATTATTATAGACATTTATTAAGCATTGTCTTATTTAATCTTTCTTTTCTTTTCTTTTTTAAAGGTTTTTTTTTTAGATTTATTTATTTATGTTATGTATATGAGTGCACTGTCTGCATGTACACTTTTATGCCAGAAGAGGGCATCAGATCCCATTATAGATAGTTGTGAGCCACCATGTGGTTTCTGGGAATTGAATTCAGGACCTCTGGAAGAGCAGCCAGTGCTTTTAACCACTGAGCCATCTCTCCAGCCCTTAATCTTCCTTTGCAATGGCCATGTGACACATACTATCACTAGCCTTATTTTAACAGTGAAGGTCTTTAGGATTTGAAGTAATTTGTTCCAGGTTTTGGGTCCGAGGTATTATGGTAGGAATTTAAACAACAGAGGTGCTTTGCATACTTCTAAACAGACTATTGCAAACTTTTACTGCTCTTTCCTAAAAGTTCCTGGGAATCCTGACTTCTAGTCCTTCCGACAGGTGGTCTCAGCTTCTGTAGGAATCTGTAGGAAAACGCTGGCAAGGAGGAGAACTATTGACTCCATTATCCACCCCTTAATGTGTATGAGAGAATTAGCAGTAGCATGTCCTGGTCTTATATTGCATTACCATTTCTTCTTTTACCTGTTTTAAAATTTTCATTGTTTTTAAGTGTGTGTGTATGTGTGTGTGTGTGTGTGTGTGTGTGTGTGTGTGTGTGTGTGTGTGTATGTGTGTGCGTGTGCATGCATGCATGCATGTGAGTGCAGGTGCAGATCCCCCTGGAGCCGGACATACATGTAGTTGTCAGACATACATGTAGTTGTCAGACGACTGATGTGATGTGGGTGGTAGGACCTTGGGTCCTCTGCAAGATCAGTACATGTACTTTTTTTTTTAATCAAGAGAATTTTTTATTCATTTTACATACCAACCACAGATCCCCCTCTCCTCCCTCCTCCCACTCCCTCTCCCCCAGCTTTCACTCCACCCAATCCATCCCCCATTCACTCCTTCGAAAAGGTAAGGCCTTCCATGGGGAGTCAGCAAAGTCTGGTACATTCAGTTGAGGCAGGTGCAAGCACCTCCCCCCTGCATCAAGACTGTGCAAGGTGTCCCACCATAGGCACTGGGCTCCAAAAAGCTAGCTCATGCACCAGGGATAGATCCTGATCCTACTGCCAGGGGCCCCTCAAACAGACCAAGTTACACAACTGTCTCCCATATGCAGAGAGCCTAGTCCAGCCTCATACAGGCTCCACAGCTGTTGGTCTAAAGTTCATTAGTTCCCACCAGTAGTACATGTTCTTAATCACTGAGCCATCTCTCCAGCCCTTCTGTCTTTTTTAAATAACACACTTTTAGTTTTTAAAAGTTTAGTATAATTACATCACTTCCCACCTTCTCTTTCCTCCTCCAACTCTTCCCATGCACATATAACCACTCTCTCTAAAATTTATGGCCTCTTTTTCTTTTGATTGTTGTTATACACACACACATGCATACATAAACACACACACACATATATATATATATATATATATATATAAATGTGTATATATTCATAAATACATAAATAAAGCCTGCTATATCTGTATGTTACTTGTGTGTATGTACACTGGCATTGGATAACCAGTTGGAGGGCTCTTCCCTGCAAAAGACTCTCACCTGCTCTCAGCAGTCCCTAGTTGCCTGTAGGATTGAGGGTCGTTTAGGCTTGAGGTCGGGAGAGCTTTCCCCTTCCATGTTGTCGCTTCCAATGATGTCCTCATGGTTGCTTTTTCTCACCTGATCCATCTACAGCACAGCTCCTGCAAAGGCTCAGAGATCCCTGTAGAAGAGGGCGCAAGGATCTTAAAGCCAGGGGAACAGGAAGTTTGCTGTAACCTAAGTCTCATCAGCATAGCTCAACAAGACCTTCTGTATTTTTTAACCTCTCTCTCTACGTGCTCTTTTCCCTTGGCTCTGAAGGTGATCAAGTCTTCCTGATCTCGTTCAATCAACCATTTAGTTGGCTCCTCCCTTCAACCACTTTCACTGTTCACTCTCATAGCCAAGCTTCATGGAAGAGTATTTAGCATCTCTCATCTCAGTCCTTGTGATGGTGAGATCCAGGAGGCTAGAGCACATATCTCTTCTGTTTGCTGCTCTACTGACTCACTCTTCCACTAGGCATAACAATGCCTAGCCCAATAGGTATTTGTTAAAGTCTTGCTAAGTTATTGAAAAGATGCATAGATGTGTGGGCTAAGAATACTTTTGAGGGGCTGGAGAGATGATTGTGGTTAAGATCCCTGGCTGCTTTTTCAGAGGACCTGGGTTCAATTTCTAGCACCCACATGGCAGCTCACACCTGTATGTAACTCCAATTTCAGGGCTTCTGACACCTTCACACAGATATACATGTAGGCACCAGTGAACATAAAATAAAAATAAGTTATATATTAAAAAAAGAATGATTTTGATCAACATGTTTTCAAAAGCTTCAGTAGTCCTGCTTCACATAAACCAAAATTTACTATTCCTTCATATTGTTTCTCCTTTGTGTATACATATAAGCTTTCTCCTTGTGTGTATATGTACACAACAATCACAAGGTAAAACTTTTATATCAAACAAGCATCACTTATATAATGTAGTGATAAAATATTTGTATTTGCTACTGCTATTCTTTGAAGTATTTCCTCTGGGATGGAAGTTCACTTTCTCTATGGATGAAATCTAGGGTAGGATAATTCTCTGCTTACTTTTTGATGACTAGCTTTGTCATAATCCTGGGCTCCCTGAGCTCATAAAAGTCTTCATTTTGCAGAAGTGATGCTCTCCTGAAAGGGGGGGGGGGGTTCACACTCCATCACAGTGATGAAATCCCTGTTATATGTCAACACAATGAATGAAACTTTATTTGGGCTCATCTTTTAAAAAGCTTCAGTCCATGGTGGTTGGCTCTGCTGCTTTCAGGAATCTGACAAGGCAGAACATGGCAGTGGGAGCATGTGGCAGAGGACCACTGCCCACCTCGGGGTGGCTAGGAAGCAAAGAGAGAAAGGAGGGCCCTGGGTCCCAGTGTCCCTCCTCGGGTATACTTCCAGTGACTTAGTTCCATCCCCGTAGGCCTTGTCTCCTTACACTCTCACCACTTCACAAAAGCACCCCAGGCTGGCAGCAATTTTAGGCAGCTCTTCCTGTCGCTTTCTATAAAACTGGTGGACTTTCGTGTACTCCTTGAACTTGTATGCCTCTGAGGGAGTTCAAGAGTCAAACCAAAAGAGGGAGAATTTAGACCAAGTCTGTGTATATGTGTGGGACCTATGCTGTATGCACATATGATAAACATATTCAAGTTAAATTCAACTGTCATATAAATGATATATAAAGTTGATACACACATATGCATATATAAATTCCATGTTGTCATATTCTAGTTTCCTTGTTACTTCTCGGATTCCCTCATACTAAGCCTTGTTTCTTTCTCTTGGCCCAGTCTTTCTGAATTCATGTCTTTTAATGTGGATTTCCCTGCAAGACAGTTTTTAATTGTCTCTCTTGCTCTGTGCATGCAAGTCTATCAGCCAGTTCCAATCTGTGGACTCAGATCATCCTTGAAGGGAAGGGTGCAATTTCTACCCACTTGGGAGTGCTTTAAAGGAAGGCATCACATCCTTCCTGGCATCCTAACACTGCTCTTATCTTACACTTGTTCCTTGAGACCCAGTAGAAGAAAGAATCCGAATCTGCCGAGCCACACGTTTTGAGTATGGAGTGTTAGTCATGTGAAATATTAGGTTGAACCTAGATAATACAGACTCTTATTGTGCACCCCATCGCCTCTACACAGGAATGTCACAGATTCAGTATCGAAATTTGCAATAATCAAACTCTTGAGAGTTTCAATATTACAGTTTTAGGCAGTTCTGTCCGCCCCTTCCCATAACACCCACTTATGGGTGTTCTTGTTACTCATTGATCTTGCCCGCCCCCATCTATTTGACCCTCCTGCCATTCACTTTTTGGCATGAGTAGCTCGGCCTCTGTTTGTGCCTAGGTTCATTATGTGGCAGCTGTTTGCATTACCATCTCATTATGTCACTGAGGGGGAGAGGTTTCCATGGTGATGCCAAACTGCTAAATAGAGATTTTACTACATTGAGATTTTATCTCTTTGGGGTAGCAGTTCCAGGGGAGCTGGGCTAGAACCTTCCCAACATGAAAAGTGCCTGTAAATTTCCCTTCTGTTTCCTGAGTCTGTGCTTTATTCAGTGAAGGTATGCTGTCATTATGAATTCTTCAAAGATAGAAGGTGATAAAGAAAACCAATAGTTGTTCTTTATATTTACTTGCCTTTCTGATATGTACGTGGAAGTTGCTAGAATAACATTGCATAGGAAAATGATTTGACCTATTGCTTTTTATGATTGCTCCACCAGCAAAAGAGACTTTGTATCCCAGGAAAAATTCTGTATAAGAGTTAGCCAGACTACTGTTATAATTATTGCTTATACTTGGTGACTTCCTAAGTTGT